CTTTTTAAGCGACGTTCTTGTCGCCGTCGCGCCGTTGGATCTTAAAGTCCCTAATAAGGCAAGTAGGACGCCAAGTGTTATTTTTGTTGAATAATAAAAGACTAAAAAAGGAATAAATATCAAACCAGAAATTGCTCTCTTCAAACTGTAAATTATAAATGATCCTGAGTGAATATTCAGTGTGTTAAAGATTTCCCTGCTGTACTGTTAGCTCTATACAAGAGAGGAGGGGCGATTTTTTTTAAATTTCCGTTTCGCTGACACAGCTTTCGCAGAAATCTCGCTGTAATCGTTTTCGTCGACAAAAGGAATAGCAAAATCGCTCTCCGCGTCTTCCCCCATTTTGTTCCGCGTCAATTCGTGGAGGACGCGTGGCTCTAGCGTGGGTCGTCCACGCGGAATACATTCGCGCTATGTGATTGGCTGTTGTCCAATCCCCCTTGGGATCTGCGGTTCTAAAAATAACTCGAGACGAATTACCTATGGAATAGAGTGTATATGGGGGATGCCCTCTCTGTCCCCTTTATAGTCTCTTGGTTTTAACCAATCAGAAACGGGGAAATATTTTGAATTAATTAAATAATTAGTTTTAAATGAGGCTGAAAAATACATTTTAGGCATACTACTGACACGACTAATTGATATTTCGAGCAACAACAATTTGCTGTTGAATGGAACAATACAAGGTGGTCCCATCTTGCAAACTTTGAGCTCAAAACCTGGTTGAAAAGGGTTAATTTCTATAGGAAGTATTTGTATGTGTAATCAAATGGAGACGAGTGAAATTATTCCCTAATTTCACGAGTATGTCATTTGATTACCTATTAATATCATGGGTGACGAATTACCTTAGCAATCGAGGATTTTTGACTTGTTTATCCTGGATCGCATTGATCGATCGTGAACTCCACTCTCTCAAACGTTTAAGTTTTCGGAAATTTTCGACAACATATCTCTAAGAATCCTTCTTGATGTGCTCTTTCGTGTGTTCAGATTTCTAAAGCGTCTTTTTATGCCCTGACATCTTCATTCATGACATTTTAAAACTTCGTCGCCATCTTGACACTGAGACGTACGGCAGGTTGCATGGCAATTTAGTAATTTCACTTGTGAAATTACAAATTAACGCTGAAATTTCGCGCCAAAATTAAGGAGTAATTCGTCACCTGTGATATTAGATGTGAAATTCGAGCATATTGATCCTCCCCTCTTGTGAAACAAATGGCTGTTAAAAAATTACATTTCTTCTCTTTGAACTATTCAAATTGTCACTAGGGCTTAAAATTCGAAAGATTGGCCTTTAAAATTGTTCAAAACAAATTTACATGGCGAACTTAAAAATAATGAAAACTTGAGGTTTTGGATAGGCTCATAATGCGCATAACAAATAGAAAAAAATATTGTTTTATTAATGTAAAAGTAAACGGCAACCTCTAATTTAGAAAGAAAACCATCTATAAACTGCATTGTAAGTTTTCTAGTTATTTCAATAAGTTCGCAAAGTGCGGAAAAAAGGTCAAAATAGCACTTAAAGGAACAAATCTAGAATTCTGTCAATATACGTAGTGTTATGTGACTTTGTTGGTATCGGTAAGCGGTAAAACCCACAGGCGGCCCAGACGTAGTCAGTGTGTCACTGAATGAATATATTAATATTCACATGGACAAATTACGTAATGCGATGAGTCGTCGAAACTCCAGTGAACTAGAATAGTCCCAAAATCAAAATATAAGAAAATAAAGCTAAGATACCTTTAACTGAACGTATCCTTGTATTTCCTGGCCGGTTAAAGTGGCATTTTGTTGAGTTTTGCAAATTGTAGGTACTATCCACTAAAGAAGAATTAAAGGCTGGCTACAAAACAAACGGACCATCTCCACGCGCCTTCACGCGAAGCGCTATAAATTGGAGAATAATCAACGAATCCGCTCCAAATTGCCATCGGCTAATCTGCAGGTAAAGTGTGCTCCTGTTCCTTGCTCGCTTGCTCCACAAAACCCATCGCAACTGCACAAGAATCGCTCGCTCATCAACAAACACTGTTGACCTTTACGCTTCGATATGACCGCGAACTACCAGGTATAATACGCGACGTGACTATTCAAGCTTAGCGACCGCGTCCGCGCGACAATGCAACACTTTCAATGGGAGGGATGGTGCTATTGCTTCTAGTTTAATCAATCGGGAAAATAATATTGAAGCCCTCGTAATTTTTAAAAAGATCCAATTTGCCCTAGGATCCCCGAACAGATAGGAATTTTATAGCGGAGCTATAAAGAGAAATAAGTGGCTGTGAAAACGTAAACAAGAACATGTACAAGTGAACAAGTGAAAACGAGGAAGTTTTCTGGACGATTCACGTTGCAGTCATGCAAATCAACGGCAAGGAAATGTACAAGAGAAAGTGTGCTACAATTAGACCTATTGTTGTTTTTTTCACAGCTCTGGTCAAGGGCATTCAACGACTGTTTTCTGTAAAATATCTGTTCGGAGAAGCAAATTTCGCCTAGAATTTTCTTTTACTTGGCTAAAAATTTCTAGATGACCATTCCATTCATGTACAATTTTCGAAGCTCATCTAATCTTGCGAATAAATTCCCTACGATTTTCTGAAGTTTAATTTTTCACATTTCACTCCCCGGGTTGGCTATTTTTCGCAGCGAGTAAAAAGGAACCCAGAAAATTTTTGGATTCAAAAATGTGATGAAAGAAGGAATCTGAGAAATTATCTCCTTCGTAAGACGTTAAATTGCATCTAACATTTTCGGGAAAATAACTCTGAATTTCCCGTAATTTCGAAAAGACTCAAGTTCCCCTAGAATGGCCGAACACTGAACAAATTTGATAACGCCACTTAGAATGCATTTCTATAGAGCTAAAAGTACTTTATGAATAGCTAAAAAGTGTTTTCAATGTATTCGAGGAAACTGTCTTTAGGTGCCCCTGTCTCGTTGCCTTCTCCGCTTAGCACTACACGATTTTATGTTTAGTATGAGCAAACTATAAATATTATCAAGAGCTTAGCTTTTAGCCCTCCTGACTAAATATACATATTAGCGCCGCTTAGAATGCATTTGAAAGTACTCTGGACAGCCTTAAATGTGTTTTCAATGCAGTTAGGGGGAAATCGTCGTTGGGTGCCCCTGAGTTTTGAAAATAATGATAATAAAAAAAGATATCGCGCACATAAATTTTACTTTACCATATCTTCAGCTGTATCTTCTATTCAGTTGCATAGCCGACGCCAGATTTTGCCTTTGTCCTGGCGGGAAAACCTCGTCCTCCCTCACCAGTTTGGACAACATACTGTAGAATAAAACGTAGTTCTGGAAAGAACTGTTTATTTAAATTAATCTAAGCAAATAGGTCTAGTAGAGTCAAGAACCTATGCAAGCGGATGGACGAACAATGTGACAGCAGCTGTGACAGCGAACGTTGGAAGAATTCGAGCTTGAAAACCAGGGCCGCCCTGTTGAAAACAAACGGACGGTCGCGCGATCGCCTTTTGTTTTCTGGTCAAAACTAACGCAGCGAACCCTCGCTCAGTGTTGATTGACCTAGAAGCAATAGTACCATCCCTCCCATTGAAAGTGTTGCATTGTCGCGCGGACGCGGTCGCTAAGCTTGAATAGTCACGTCGCGTATATTATACCTGGTAGTTCGCGGTCATATCGAAGCGTAAAGGTCAACAGTGTTTGTTGATGAGCGAGCGATTCTTGTGCAGTTGCGATGGGTTTTGTGGAGCAAGCGAGCAAGGAACCGGAGCACACGTTACCTGCAGATTAGCCGATGGCAATTTGGAGCGGATTCGTTGATTATTCTCCAATTTATAGCGTTTCGCGTGAAGGCACGTGGAGATGGTCCGTTTGCTTTGTAGCCAGCCTTTAATTCTTCTTTAGTGGATAGTACCTACAATTGCAAAACTCAACAAAATGCCACTTTAACCGGCCAGGAAATACAAGGATACGTTCAGTTAAAGGTATCTTAGCTTTATTTTCTTATATTTTGATTTTGGGACTATTCTAGTTCACTGGAGTTTCGACGACTCATCGCATTACGTAATTTGTCCATGTGAATATTAATATATTCATTCAGTGACACACTGACTACGTCTGGGCCGCCTGTGGTAGAAGTCGTAGCCTTCGCAAACAAAGTCGCAAGCAGTCATTGCGCAAAGTTTTGGGGATACTAGCAATATAGTCTTTTGTCAGCCTTAGAAAATTAATTTGAATCTGAGAAGCACTTCCTGCGGTCACCTTTCGAGTTTCATGGTAAAATGTTTAAGAAACAATGATGGCACGGGACCGTATTATATGTTAATTGCTTGCTTGCTTATTTTTTCATTAATTTTTAATTTCTTTATTTAAAAATAAAATGAGGGGTCCAGAAGGGGGTCCTGAAAGGGGTCTGAAAGGGGCTCCAGAAGGGACAAATACTAAGTAAGTTTGATGAATAGAAATTCTTTAATATCAGCTAGCACTCAGGATAATAAAAGTCGTTCTTCTTGTATTGCTAACTATATTTGCCGTAGGTTTCTGAATAAGTTCTTACAGTAAAGGGCGCCGCGCTTTGGGTAAGAAGTAATATATCAAACATGAGATGCAGTGTTTCATCACAGATGAAACACCGAGAAGAGAGTTGAAAATACGACGCGCAGCGGAGTATTTTTGACGAACTTCGAGGTGTTTCATCTGGTGATGAAACACTGTGTCGAATGTTTGATATTTCTTCTCAAACAAAATCATTTTTGAAGGAGAAATTAAGGATGCAAATACTAAGCAGTGTTTCATTCGATTTCCAAACACTCATTAAACATTAATTTCCTTTGTATTTTCTTAATGAATTATTAATGAGTTTGAGAATACCCTTTCAAATAGGAGATAGCCCGTCGGCATACTTCCACGATTTGTGAGTCAACTTTCAGAAATGTGTAAGCGTAACAATTTAAGCTTGAATGTGACTAGTATTTTGTGTAGCGAGTTCCATGGTCTCGAGCTCT